AATTGGCCCAGCGTCATCCAGGTTAGGTTAGGGGAGGGTTTGGCCAGGGGCTTTACTTGGCTCACCGCGCTCTAGCAACTCCTTGTGGCTGACCTCGGTTGTCAGTTGAACAGTGTTTCCTCCAAGACAGCAGCGGGCGGGTGTTAAGAAGCGCGGTTTGGCGGGTCATGTTTCGGAGGACGCATGACTCGACCTTCGCCTCCCGTGCCCGTTGGGGAGTTGCAATGAGACAAGATCGAAATTGGGGAGAAAAAATATACTGTCCGGGTGGCTTGTCTCAGACGAGCCCGCAGTTGAAGAAGCCGGATGTGGAGTTCCTGGGCTGGCGTGGTTACACGTGGTCTGCGCATTTGAGGCCGGTTTACACCTTCTGAATCATGTGCATGTGACAAATAAACTGATTTTAGTTGATACTAACTGTAAGTCGCTCTGGATAAGAGCGTCTGCTAAATGACTAAAATGTAAAATGTAAATATTGTGTGTTTACCAGAAACGGTAATATAGAGAACATGACATGCACCAAAATGTATGCACGCATGACTGTAAGTCGCTTTGGATAAAAGCGTCTGCTAAATGGCATATTATTATTATTATTAAAGTCAAATTAGGATACAGTGGGGGAAAAAAGTATTTAGTCAGCCACCAATTGTGCAAGTTCTCCCACTTAAAAAGATGAGAGAGGCCTGTAATTTTCATCATAGGTACACGTCAACTATGACAGACAAATTGAGAGAAAAAAATCCAGAAAATCACATTGTAGGATTTTTTATGAATTTATTTGCAAATTATGGTGGAAAATAAGTATTTGGTCAATAACAAAAGTTTCTCAATACTTTGTTATATACCCTTTGTTGGCAATGACACAGGTCAAACGTTTTCTGTAAGTCTTCACAAGGTTTTCACACACTGTTGCTGGTATTTTGGCCCATTCCTCCATGCAGATCTCCTCTAGAGCAGTGATGTTTTGGGGCTGTTGCTGGGCAACACGGACTTCCAACTCCCTCCAAAGATTTTCTATGGGGTTGAGATCTGGAGACTGGCTAGGCCACTCCAGGACCTTGAAATGCTTCGTTGCCCGGGCGGTGTGTTTGGGATCATTGTCATGCTGAAAGATTTATTCATCTTCAATGCCCTTGCTGATGGAAGGAGGTTTTCACTCAAAATCTCACGATACATGGCCCCATTCATTCTTTCCTTTACACGGATCAGTCGTCCTGGTCCCTTTGCAGAAAAACAGCCCCAAAGCATGATGTTTCCACCCCCATGCTTCACAGTAGGTATGGTGTTCTTTGGATGCAACTCAGCATTCTTTGTCCTCCAAACACGACGAGTTGAGTTTTTACCAAAAAGTTATATTTTGGTTTCATCTGACCATATGACATTCTCCCAATCCTCTTCTGGATCATCCAAATGCACTCTAGCAAACTTCAGACGGGCCTGGACATGTACTGGCTTAAGCAGGGGGACACATCTGGCACTGCAGGATTTGAGTCCCTGGCGGCGTAGTGTGTTACTGATGGTAGGCTTTGTTACTTTGGTCCCAGCTCTGTGCAGGTCATTCACTAGGTCCCCCCGTGTGGTTCTGGGTTTTTTGCTCACCGTTCTTGTGATCATTTTGACCCCACGGGGTGAGATCTTACGTGGAGCCCCAGATCGAGGGAGATTATCAGTGGTCTTGTATGTCTTCCATTTCCTAATAATTGCTCCCACAGTTGATTTCTTCAAACCAAGCTGCTTACCTATTGCAGATTCAGTCTTCCCAGCCTGGTGCAGGTCTACAATTTTGTTTCTGGTGTCCTTTGACAGCTCTTTGGTCTTGGCCATAGTGGAGTTTGGAGTGTGACTGTTTGAGGTTGTGGACAGGTGTCTTTTATACTGATAACAAGTTCAAACAGATGCCATTAATACAGGTAACGAGTGGAGGACAGAGGAGCCTCTTAAAGAAGAAGTTACAGGTCTGTGAGAGCCAGAAATCTTGCTTGTTTGTAGGTGACCAAATACTTATTTTCCACCATAATTTGCAAATCAATTCATTAAAAATCCTACAATGTGATTTTCAGGATTTTTTTCTCTCAATTTGTCTGTCATAGTTGACGTGTACCTATGATGAAAATTACAGGCCTCTCTCATCTTTTTAAGTGGGAGAACTTGCACAATTGGTGGCTGACTAAATACTTTTTTTCCCCACTGTATAACGTTAGGGCAATGAGACACTGTCAACGTTCTAAAATTCTCCGCTAGAATGCCCTGCTTTTATTTCGTCACACTCACAACTGTAAGCTATTTTCTGTAATTAGCTCGCCATTAACATGTAAATAATGATATTGTTGTGAGTTTATTTTCCTTAGCTAAAATTAAGACGTTGTCAGCTATGATATGGTCATTATTTGAACTGGCTAGTCAGTTAAAGTAACGTTAGCTAGCTAGCTAACAAGCTAGAAACTAACCAAAACATTGTTTAGAAAGTTGCTTTTAGTTGCCTGGTTTGCAAGATTGACATGTACTAAATTAATTTTTAAACAGATGGGTTTATTGGTGTTAAAATACACCAGTTATGCTATTTTGGACCACCATGCTGCTGATGTCATGCATGTGAATCCTTAAAGAGATGGTTGGGGCTAAGGCTTAAGAGTGTGTGAACGATGCTGAATGGGTGTAGACAAGCTCTCCAGTACGTGACCATTTTCTCAAAAGTGGGGTTACAAGTTTATCAACTTTCAAAGCAGAATTAATTTCCCATTGTTCTCAACTTTAGTGTATGATATACAATTTTCTAGCTCTGAGTCTCTACTTTTATCCAATGTGTAAAAATAAAATAAATAACATTTCAAATTTTGCTACAGAAGATCGAGCCAGTCGGTCACATTTGAATGGCCTTTTATTGTCCCCAGCACAAGGTGCACCTGTGTAATGAGGGAGAGAGAACTGAACAAACATACTCAACAATTTCCTGAGTTACAGTTCATATCAGGAAATCGGTCAATTGAAATAAATTCATTAGGCCCTAATATATGGATTTCAAATGACTGGGAATACAGATATGCATCTGTTGGTCACAGAGACCTTAAAGGTAGGGGTGCAGATTAGAAAACCAGTCTGTATCTGGTGTGACCACCATTTGCCTCATGCAGCGTGACATGTCACCTTCGCATAGAGTTGATCAGGCTGTTGATTGTGGCCTGTGGAACGTTGTCCCACTCCTCTTCAATGGCTGTGCGAAGTTGCTGGATATTGGCGGGAACTAGCTGTCGATCCAGAGCATCCCAAACATGCTCAATGGGTGACATGTGAGTATGCAGGCCATGGAAGAACTGGGACATTTTCAGCTTCCAGGAATTGTGTATCATTGCGATATGGGGCCGTGCATTATCATGCTGAAACGAGGTGATTGCAGTGGATGAATGGCACAACAAGGGGCAAATGCCTTCTGCTGAAAATACCAATCTGTCTAGAACAAATATATTTTTTCCTCAACTCCCAATTTTGAGTGAACAGCAGCACTGTTTTTCAAAGTACAGTAGCTCATCTTGAGATAAGCTATTGTCAAGACGTGCGCATCGGCCATTACCGTGAGTAGCAGCCTATGGTTTCATCTTCATCATTTAGGTGAGTCAGTGTGCCAATGGACATTTTATTTAGTAGCCTATAAAATATATCTCCTAATATTGTACAATCAGTGTCGCTTCATTGGTCTGGGCTATTGTTTGAATTCAAGACCAGATTGATCTCAGTTTGTCAGTGTCAGAGTAGCCACGCATTTCGGTCATTTGTGTGGTATTAAAAAATATTCAGTTCATGTCTTTTATCATGTAAATGACATTGACATTTTGTTGGATCCCTGCTAACAAATGTTCACCATGTGTGGAAATCCTAAAAACACCTGTGCTCAACTGTCGTCTATGCCACATTGCACATTTGATTATAAAGGGTATTTTTCTTCAACAGTAAATTTACAACGCATTGAATTGCATCTTGGTGCACGGATTTGTTTACAGAAAACAGTGTGCCCCGGGGCCTATGATTTCTTAATCCGGCCCTGAGCATAGGCAGTGTGTATGAATTCAGGCTGTAACACAACAAAATGTGGAATAAGTTGAGTGGTATGAATACTTTCTGAAGGCACAGTAGACTAACGCTAATGCATTCTATTGGACGGAGATGTCAAACCTACTTTTACATGTATTAGGTTCGCTAGATTCTACACTGCTCTAAATGTTTTACTGTTTCTCTAACCTTCTGGAAATGTCTACCAAATTAGATACTTGGTGTTCCAGAAAATGAAAGGTGATGGCATGCATCTTCCATATATAACTGAACATAGGAGATGCAGGCTATCATCTTTCTGGAATACCAAGGATCTACAATGACTAGGCCTGTACCCAGATAAGCGTTCTCATTCCGTCAAACCTTTGGTAGTGCTGGCACACCTCAAAGACTGCCTAGCTAAACACTACCTAGTAGTTTATCTTGACTCGAGGCATTCCCAAATGTCACTGCTTTAAAAAGCACTAGCAGTAGCATTCCCAAATGTCACAACTATAAAAGACCTACGGTACTAGGCGGCCCTACCATTATCATACTGTTATTTACTGTACGTTATCTTAGTTCTCAATTAACACGTTACTGTATCTCTGTATGATATGAAACTATAATTGATATAGCCTACAGATCTAACATCGACTAGTTGACTTTGACTAACCACCCTATCCATAAGCCTTAACCAGTTTACATGTGGTGTGTCACTCCAGGAGTCTATTCTACCCATATTTTCTACATCTGCAAATTCCTTACTTCTAAAAACCTGGCTTTGAGAAGTGAGAAATGTGCAGATGTGGCAGATTTGTTTGTCACTAATGATTTGTTAGTAGTATGGGCTTCTAGGAGGAATGTAGAAGGCTCTGCTCAAGGCTATTGCTTATCAACCTGACAGATTCGAACATGGATCTCGTGCTGAACGTCGCTGAACACTATGTCTTCACCCCCTATGTGTACCCGTCATCATGGCCCAGGACAGGGCGCTGCGCCAGATCATCAGCCTGTTGGTAGTCACAAACCTAGGGGCCGCGGTCCTCTACCTGGGCCTGGGATGGCTGAGCTACCACTTCATCTTTGACCACAACCTCATGAAACATTCACAGTTTCTAATGGTATTTCCTTCTTTATTTTACTCAATACTTGGATGGAAAATTACTGAGGATAATAGCGGACGATATTTCCACTCCTATTTGCCATATCTTCAATTTAAGCCTACTAGAAAGTGTGTGCCCTCAGGCCTGGAGGGAAGCAAAAGTCATTCTGCTACCTAAGAATAGTAAAGCCCCCTTTACTGGCTCAAATAGCCAACCAATCAGCCTGTTACCAACCCTTAGTAAAGTTTTGGAAAAAATTGTGTTTGACCAGAGACAATGCTATGTTACAGTAGAAAAATTGACAACAGACTTTCAACACATTTATAGGGAAGGACATTCAACAAGCACAGCACTTACACAAATGACTGATGATTGGCTGAGAGAAATTGATGATCAAAAGATTGTGGGAGCTGTTTTGTTAGACTTCAGTGTGGCTTTTGACATTATCGGTCATAGTCTGCTGCTGGAAAAACTGATGTGTTATGGCTTTACACCCCCTGCTATATTGTGGATAAAGAGTTACCTGTCTAACAGAACACAGAGGATGTCCTTTAATGGAAGCCTCTCCAACATAATCCAGGTAGAATCAGGAATTCCCCAGGGCAGCTGTCTAGGCCACTTACTTTTTTCAATCTTTACTAACGAAATGCCACTGACTTTGAGTAAAGCCAGTGTGTCTATGTATGCGGATGACTCAACACTACACGTCAGCTACTACAGCGACTGAAATGACTGAAACACTTAACAAAGAGCTGCAGTTAGTTTCAGAATGGGTGGCAAGGAATAAGTTAGTCCTAAATATTTCAAAAACTAAAAGCATTGTATTTGTGACAAATCATTCACTAAACCCTAAACCTCAATTAAATATTGTAATAAATAATGTGGAAATTGAGCAAGTTGAGGTGACTAAACTGCTTGGAGTAACCCTGGATTGTAAACTGTCATGGTCAAAACATATTGATACAACAGTAGCTAAGATGGGGAGAAGTCTGTCCATAATAAAGTGTTGTTCTACCTTCTTAACAACACTATCAACAAGGCAGGTCCTACAGGCCCTACTTTTGTCGCGCCTGGACTACTGTTCAGTCGTGTGGTCAGGTGCCACAAAGAGGGACTTAGGAAAATTGCAATTGACTCAGAACAGGGCAGCACGGCTGGCCCTTGGATGTACACAGAGAGCAAACATGAATAATATGCATGCCAATCTCTCCTGGCTCAAAGTGGAGGAGAGATTGACTTCATCATTACTTGTGAGAGGTATTGACATGTTGAAAGCACTGAGCTGTCTGTTTAAACGACACCATGCATACCCCACAAGACATGCCACCAGATGTCACTTCACAGTCCCCAAGTCCAGAACAGACTATGGGAGGCGCACAGTACTAAATGGAGCCATGACTACATGGAACTCTATTCCACATCAGGTAACTGATGTAAGCAGTAGAATCAGATTTAAAAAACAGATAAAAATACACCTTATGGAACAGCAGGGACTGTGAAGCAACACAAACACATAGGCACAGACGCATACACACACACGATAACATACGCACTATACACACACATACACATGGATTTTGTGTTGTAGATACAGTGGGGGAAAAAAGTATTTAGTCAGCCACCAATTGTGCAAGTTCTCCCACTTAAAAAGATGAGAGAGGTCTGTAATTTTCATCATAGGTACACGTCAACTATGACAGACAAATTGAGAGAAAAAAATCCAGAAAATCACATTGTAGGATTTTTAATGAATTTTTTTGCAAATGATGGTAGAAAATAAGTATTTGGTCACCTACAAACAAGCAAGATTTCTGGCTCTCACAGACCTGTAACTTCTTCTTTTAAGAGGCTCCTCTGTCCTCCACTCGTTACCTGTATTAATTGCACCTGTTTGAACTTGTTATCAGTATAAAAAACACCTGTCCACAACCTCAAACAGTCACACTCCAAACTCCACTATGGCCAAGACCAAAGAGCTGTCAAAGGACACCAGAAACAAAATTGTAGACCTGCACCAGGCTGGGAAGACTGCATCTGCAATAGGTAAGCAGCTTGGTTTGAAGAAATCAACTGTGGGAGCAATTATTAGGAAATGGAAGACATACAAGACCACTAATAATCTCCCTCGATCTGGGGCTCCACGCAAGATCTCACCCCGTGGGGTCAAAATGATCACAAGAACGATGAGCAAAAATCCCAGAACCACACGGGGGGACCTAGTGAATGACCTGCAGAGAGCTGGGACCAAAGTAACAAAGCCTACCATCAGTAACACACTACGCCGCCAGGGACTCAAATCCTGCAGTGCCAGACGTGTCCCCCTGCTTAAGCCAGTACATGTCCAGGCCCGTCTGAAGTTTGCTAGAGTGCATTTGGATGATCCAGAAGAGGATTGGGAGAATGTCATATGGTCAGATGAAACCAAAATAGAACTTTTTGGTAAAAACTCAACTCGTCGTGTTTGGAGGACAAAGAATGCTGAGTTGCATCCAAAGAACACCATACCTACTGTGAAGCATGAGGGTGGAAACGTCATGCTTTGGGGCTGTTTTTCTGCAAAGGGACCAGGACGACTGATCCATGTAAAGGAAAGAATGAATGGGGCCATGTATCGTGAGATTTTGAGTGAAAACCTCCTTCCATCAGCAAGGGCATTGAAGATGAATAAATCTTTCAGCATGACAATGATCCCAAACACACCGCCCGGGCAACGAAGCATTTCAAGGTCCTGGAGTGGCCTAGCCAGTCTCCAGATCTCAACCCCATAGAAAATCTTTGGAGGGAGTTGGAAGTCCGTGTTGCCCAGCAACAGCCCCAAAACATCACTGCTCTAGAGGAGATCTGCATGGAGGAATGGGCCAAAATACCAGCAACAGTGTGTGAAAACCTTGTGAAGACTTACAGAAAACGTTTGACCTGTGTCATTGCCAACAAAGGGTATATAACAAAGTATTGAGAAACTTTTGTTATTGACCAAATACTTATTTTCCACCATAATTTGCAAATAAATTCATAAAAAATCCTACAATGTGATTTTCTGGATTTTTTTCTCTCAATTTGTCTGTCATAGTTGACGTGTACCTATGATGAAAATTACAGGCCTCTCTCATCTTTTTAAGTGGGAGAACTTGCACAATTGGTGGCTGACTAAATACTTTTTTTCCCCACTGTATCCTAATTTGACTTTGGTGCATGTCATGTTCTCTATATTACCGTTTCTGGTAAACACACAATATTTACATTTTACATTTTAGTCATTTAGCAGACGCTCTTATCCAGAGCGACTTACAGTTAGTATCAACTAAAATCAGTTTATTTGTCACATGCACATGATTCAGAAGGTGTAAACCGGCCTCAAATGCGCAGACCACGTGTAACCACGCCAGCCCAGGAACTCCACATCCGGCTTCTTCAACTGCGGGCTCGTCTGAGACAAGCCACCCGGACAGTATATTTTTTCTCCCCAATTTCGATCTTGTCTCATTGCAACTCCCCAACGGGCACGGGAGGCGAAGGTCGAGTCATGCGTCCTCCGAAACATGACCCGCCAAACCGCGCTTCTTAACACCCGCCCGCTGCTGTCTTGGAGGAAACACTGTTCAACTGACAACCGAGGTCAGCCACAAGGAGTTGCTAGAGCGCGGTGAGCCAAGTAAAGCCCCTGGCCAAACCCTCCCCTAACCTAACCTGCTGGACGCTGGGCCAATTGTGTGCCGCCCTATGGGACTCCTGATCAAGGCCAGTTGTGATACAGCCCGGGATCGAACCCGGGTCTGTAGTGACGCCTCTAGCACTGCGATGCAATGCCTTAGACCTCTGTGCCACTCGGGAGGCCCTCTGAAGAGTATCTCTGTCTGTAATAAAGCCCATTTGTGGGGAAAAACTCATTCTGATTGGCTGGGCCTGGTTCCCCATGGTTGCGCCCCTGCCCAGTCATGTGAAATCCATAGATTAGGGCCTAATTTATTTATTTAAAATTGACCGATTTCCTTAAAATAACTTTAACTCAGTAAAATGGTTTAAATTGTTGCATGTTGTGTTTATAGTTTTGCTCAGTATAGAATATTGGTAACTACAACTCCCTACTACATCGCACAGTTCAGGCGTCATCTGATTTATTGCTACAGAAACTGCACATCAAATAAAAATAACAACAAAAAAACTAAATGGAAATCAAATAATTCCTGTGTAGCTCAGTTGGTAGAGCATGGCGCTTGCAATGCCAGGGTTGTGGGTTCGTTTCCCACAGGGGGCCAGTATGAAAAAATTCAAATAAATTCATAAAAAATCATACAATGTGATTTTCTGGATTTTTGTTTTAGATTCCGTCTCTCACAGTTGAAGTGTACCTATGATACAAAAGCATGTAGAGGTCTGTAATGTGTAAGTAGGAAAACCTGCAAAATTGGCAGTGTATCAAATACTTGTTCTCCCCACTGTATACAGTACCAGTCATGTTTGGACACACCTACTTATTCAAAGGTTTTTCTTTATTTCTACTATTTTCTACATTATATAGTAATAGTGAAGACATCAAAACTATGAAATAACACATATGGAATCATGTAGTAATCAAAATTTATTTTTTTATTTGAGATTCTTCAAATAGCCACCCTTTGCCTTGATGACAGCTTTGCGCCCTCTTGGCATTCTCTCAACCAGCTTTACCTGGAATGCTTTTCCAATAGTCTTGAAGGAGTTCCCACATATGCTGAGCACTTGTTGGCTGCTTTTCCTTCACTCTGCGGTCCGACTCATCCCAAACCATCTCAATTTGGTTGAAGTCGGAGGATTGTGGAGGCCAGGTCATCTGATGCAGTACTCCATCACTCTCCTTGGTAAAATAGCCCTTACACAGCCTGGAGGTGTGTTGGGTCATTGTCCTGTTGAAAAACAAATGATAGTCCCACTAAGCCCAAACCAGATGGGATGGCGTATCGCTGCAGAATGTTGTGGTAGCCATGCTGGTTAAGTGTGCCTTGAATTCTAAATAAATCACAGACAGTGTCTCCAGCAAAGCACCCCCACACCATAACACCTCCTCCTCCATGCTTTACGGTGGGAAATACACATGCGGAGATCATCCGTTCTCCCACACCGCGTCTCACAAAGACACGGCGGTTGGAACCAAAACTCTCCAATTTGGACTCCAGACCAAAGGACAAATTTCCACCAGTTGAATGTCCATTGCTCGTGTTTCTTGGCCCAAGCAAGTCTCTTCTTATTGGTGTCCTTTAGTAGTGGTTTCTTTGCAGCAATTTGACCATGAATGCCTGATTCACAGTCTCCTCTGAACAGTTGATGTTGAGATGTCTGTTACTTTAACTTAGTGAAGCATTTATTTGGGTTGTAATTTCTGAGGCTGGTAATTCTAATGAACTAATCCTCTGCAGCAGACAAAACTCTGGGTCTTCCATTCCTGTGGCGGTCCTCATGAGAGCCAACTTCATCATAGCGCTTGATGGTTTTTGTGACTGCACTTGAAGAAACTTTCAAAGTTCTTGAAATGTTCCGTATTGACTGACCTTCATGTCTTAAAGTAATGATGGACTGTCGTTTCTCTTTGCTTATTTGAGCTGTTCTTGCCATAATATGGACTTGGTCTTTTACCAAATAGGGCTATCTTCTGTATAACACCCCTACCATGTCACAACACAACTGACTGGCTCAAACGCATTAAGAAGGAAAGAAATTCCACAAATTAACTTTTAACAAGGCACACCTGTTAATTGAAATGCATTCCAGGTGACTACCTCATGAAGCTGGTTGAGAGAATGCCAAGAGTGTGCAAAGCTGTCATCAAGGCAAAGGGAGGCTACTTTGACCAGTAGTGTTATGTCTTTGGTACCCATGTGTATTGTCTGCTGGTCCTAGCCTCAATTGCTGGCACACTTGAAAGTGATCAAACGGGACCCTATGTTTTTGTATACCATCTATTCCTCAGCAAATATGTTTTAAATACAATTCCTTTTGGAATCCTGTTCACTTGAATTGACCATCTCTGTGACGTGTTCCCTCCCCGCAGCACTTCCACAAGCCATACCACGTGTGGAATATCTCCACACCGTTCGCCAGCCACGCCTTCCACCCGCTGGACGGCTTCCTACAGGGCCTGCCTTACCACATCTACCACTTTCTCTTCCCCCTGCACAAGGTGCTCTACCTGGCCCTCTACATTTTCGTCAACATCTGGACTGTGTCCATCCATGATGGCGACTACCACGTCCCCGGCCCACTGCAGGAGGTGGTCAACGGGGCAGCCCACCACACGGACCACCACCTCTTCTTCGACGTCAACTACGGCCAGTACTTCACCCTGTGGGACCGCATTGGTGGGTCTTACCGCAACCCCTTGGTACTTGAAGGGAAGGGCCCCCTCGACTGCATTCACAGACTGACGGCTGAGGGGAAGATGAGAACTAATGGGACTAATGCTAACGCCAATGGGCACACGAATGGGCATGCTAATGGGAGCGGTACGAAGAGCAAGGAGCAGTAGTTTGTACATGTGGTCTAGTGTCATGATGAAGGATTGCTTAGCTGGTAAAGCTAAGCTAGTTGTCATCGATAAGGAATAGCTCACGTTCTGGTTAACACATTGGTCCTTTTCATTCATCCCAAAGAAAATAATCAATATGTTATTTTCAGTTGTTTACCTTTTATTGTCCGTTGAATTACTTTTTCTTGTTTCAATGCTAGGAAAGGGAGAAAGCAAGCTTTCCTTAAAAATACATTTCACTGAAAAGCCCTATGCTGAATATGCGGGTGAAAAAAAACATTTGGAACTTAATTTCAGTTTCTATATTTACCAAACAAATACTTAAAGGTCCAATGCAGCTGTTATCTCCATATCAAATCATTTATAGTTAACAATTAAGTACCTTACCGTGATTGTTTTCAATTAAAATGGTAAAAATGAAACCAATAGCTTCTTAGTGAAGCGACAATGAAATATGATGTCTAGTGCTGATTTAATGCAAGCAAATGAAAATGCATGATGTTCCTTCACCCCCTATGTACTAGATTACTAGTCAGAGTTGGTCATGCTCATACCCAGTTTTAAACCCTTTGGGACTTTACGCCAACACCATTGGCTGCATACAGAATGGTGCACAATAAAAGTCAAGTCTATGATGAATCTAAGTGGGTGGGATTGTGTATTTGTATCTGAATGTTTTGCATTTTAAAGCAGACCTATCTGGGGCAAAAAGAGATCCCAAAATAAAAAGTAGTGCCCATTCAGAAGTTGGACTTCATTCATTTTGACTTTTGAAAAATGATTTGGGGTTTACAAGCAGCAAACAAAGTGAATCGTATTGTAGATGAACACATCGAATAACCTCATCCCAGCCAACTCTTTTATTGCATTACAATGAACAATAGTTTGGCCACAACACAGACTATAGGATGAGGCAATGTGTGCAGTAATGCACGTAGAATACTATTGAATGAAGGGATAGGTTTTAAAACAGTGACTTTGTTATATCGTAGTTTTTCAAACCTAGAAACGAATATATAAAGACATCTATCCATTTTATTTAGAGAATGCAGGTGGCAGAACACCATTAGTTCTACCAGTGTCTGACAAATGCCACCTAATATTGTGCCTTTTGAATCTCTCCAACCTTACATATTCAATTATGAAAACACAGTTTGAACATGGAACTTAATCTTAGTCCTATGCAGTCTCCCATTTTAAAGTGTTGGAGAGGCCACAATTATATCACAATATCTGAGAAGCATTCTGTTAATCCAAAAAGTTCAATTTCATATTCTTCTTTGTGTTGTCTCATAAGCAATAATGATGGAATAGTCCCAACTCCCAAGACATGTTTACTTGCATGACGCAGCACTCTTGAGATGTTATTTCAGACTAAATACAGCAGAGGGAGCTATTGCATTACCCAAGGTTTTCTTTTCAGCGTCTTATCTTTTCAACTTATGAAACATCAGGTCAGCACACAGCAAAACAACACTTCATTGTGTTTTCGTTAGGATACCTTTCTGTTAAATCAATTGTTACAACGTAGAAGCAAAACATGTAGCCAACAAATTCCTAAATGAATAGCCTGTATGGACAATAACCTAATGGAATAGAACTGGAACGCTCTTGAGCTGAGATGCGAGGAGACGGTATTGGCTGCTTGATACTGTATTTACATGAGTATAATTAAATGTACAAAATCTATTGTCATTGTATTTACCTCTGGCTTCAAGATAACATTTAAGAACCATCCACATTGAAGGCAGTCCCACTACATGCAAAAACATATCTCTAGTTACATAATAATTTCAACATGGCTATCTTGGCTGCAAGTGTTTTGGGAATCACATTTTCCAGTGTGTGCACATTTTACTAACACTCTTGATCTACCATCAAAATCATGCAGCAAATAATGAAACAATTATTGGCATGAAATTGTTCAATTGTTCATATCAATTTATTTGTACACATTCCCTCCATACTTGTCTCTCTTCAATGGCTTGGTTGTAATGCTTCAATGACTTGGTTGTATACTGTATATGGCTTGGTTGTACTATATAAAAATATAAAAAATAAACGTTTTAAGTGAGAAGTAGGCATTGGTCTGAAGCCGAAAAAGAAAAGAAATTCAGGAGCACCACAATGCCTACTCCACCCATGCTCTACCAAGGTTTTCCAGCACACAGCTTTGAACTACAGTAGCTATGTTGGTCTATTGTAGTTCAGGCAATGTGTATACAGGTTGCTTAGGATTCAAACCTTCTCAAACAGCCTAATTCATACTCTTAGAGGAGGTGCTCCCACAATAATGTGATTTGTACTGCATACAAGTTAAAGTATTGGATTATTCACACACCACACACTAATCCCATTCCACTACCTTTTCAAGTTTTGTTTAATTATATGAAAGCAAGCTTTGCTTTTATACTTATAAGACCATCATGCTCGATTGAGTGAGCTGTTTTGCCTTGTAATGTGGTGCCTGCCTGTATTTCCTTAAACTTTTATTTTAGCAATACATGTAATTGAGAAAAATATATTTCTTAACATCTTTTTTTGGTCAGTAGGTGCCCAACAACAACAGGGGGTGGTGTGTTGGACACAGGCGCTCATATTTGTGACCGACTGCCTCGATTCGGTCTTATGTAGCAACATTTTAAATAGTTATTTACATTGGATAAAAGTAGAGACTCAGAGCTAGAAAATGGTATATCATACACTGCAGTTGAGGAACAATGGGAAAGTAATTCTGCTTTGAAAGTTGATAAACTTGTAACCCCACTTTTGAGAAAATGTCCCTTGAATGTTTTGATACACCTACTGGAGAGCTCTTCTTTGTCTACACCCATTCAGCATCGTTCACACCCTCTTAAGCCTTAGACCCACCCATCTCTTTAAGGATTCACATGTGAGGCCATGTGGTAAACACAAGCTATATCAAATAAAAAAGTGTATTTGTCACATGCACAGAATACAGAAGGTGTAAACGGTACATTGAAATGGTTACTTGCATAGTAGCAATAGCAAAAATAAAGTGTCCAGATACAAATATTTTAGAAATATTGTATAATTATTAAATGACGCATACCTGACACACTTGTCTAAATTGATGGGTCATGTGAAGGAAATGCTATAATCTCCCCCCAGCCACATTGAGCTAAATGGATGGGTATCTATTGTCTAGACATGTACAAATAAAATACAATAGATGGCCGTAATCACCCCCAGACACACCTGGCTAATGTGATGGGTCATGTAATAATCCGGCCGAAGTTAAGTATTTTGTTTAGACATGTAGCTAGCTAGGTAGCCAGCTAGCTAGCTAAACAATGAACCGGCATAATCCCAACTCATACTACTACCAATACGAACACTGTCATAGCTGTAGTATGAATCCGCAGGTAGCTAAAGCTAACATCTAGGTTCAATGTTAGCTAGCTAACATTAGGCTATAACTAGCAATGCAAATGTTTTTCTGAATTGAATAATATTACTACACAGATCATACACGTAACGTTAGCTAGCAAGCCAGCAAGCTAATGTTCGCTAGCAAACTAACAGTACGCTTTAACTTGCAATGAAAACGACTTTCTGACTAAATTAGAAACTTACACTACCAGTCAACATTTTGGACAGACCTACTCATCCAAGTGTTTTTCTTTATTTTTAATTTTAATTTAATTTTTTATATTGTAGAATAATAGTGAAGACATCAAAACTATGAAATAACACATGGAATCATGTAGTTACCAAAAAAGTGTTAAAAAAATAAATATATATTTTATATTTGAGATTCTTCAAATAGCCAACCTTTACCTTGATGACAGCTTTGCACACTCTTGTCATTCTCTCAGGACAGAAATGACCGTACTGAACTGACAGGATGGAAATGACCGTTACTGAACTGACAGGACAGAAATTACCGTTAGTAATTCGGTGTCCTTGCGCAGAACAAGCTGGGCACGGGCCCCTTCAGCGAGGTCGTCACTGTGAACACACTAGGTGGGTATTATGGTATTCACCTCTGACCTACAGTATATGACCTATTGGACTGGGGAAGAAAGTGAGGCATGAGTGACCTTACCTGGCGGGAACACAACAGAACTGTCTGGTGTGACTACAAGATGGCAGCTAGGGAAAAGTTGTGATGGTAATTAATTGAATGATGTGTGGTTTTGTTGTTAATAGTGATGTATGCAGTGGTGTTGGTGGCAGCAGCTGTAGTAGTAATATGTTGTGGTTTTAAAAGTTGCCCATCAACTTTCTAAAGAACTCGTGCCAACAATTGCAGTTACACTGCTACTGCATTTGAAATACAGCTCTCTAACCCCTCCCAGTCTCTCTTTCTCTTTCCAACTCTCACTCTCTCTCTCTCTCTCTCTCTCTCTCTCTCTCTCTCTCTCTCTCTCTCTCTCTCTCTCTCTCTCTCTCTCTCTCTCTCTCTCTCTCTCTCTCTCTCTCTCTCTCTCTCTCTCTCTCTCTCTCTCTCTCTCTCTCTCTCTGTCAAGTATTTCCTATAAGTACCCCTGAACCACTGGTGCTGCTTACCTCACCACGATGCCTCATAGCCAATCGGACGCAGCAGGGTGTCTTGCTCATGTGGATCCCGCCGGCCAACCACATGGCTCCGATTGAGCACTACGTCATGGAGTTCCTCCTGGGGGAGAGGTGGGATGTCCTAGACGATGCCATCCCCGCCGGAGAGACAGAGCTGCTAGCCAGAGACCTCATTCAGGTAGCTTACTGTTTCATACAGAATGACGGGTGGCCAGTTATCCGCAGGGCTGGTGTGGGCGCAGGCTTTATTCCAGCCAAGCTCATTAACACACCTTCATCCAACACTATGTTTATGACCAAAAGTATGTGGACACCTGCTCGTCGAACATCTCATTCCAAAATCATGTGTATTAATATGGAGTTCTGGGAAGGCTTTCCACTAGATGTTGGAATATTGCTGCCGGATCTTGCTTCCATTCAGCCACAAGAGCATTAGTGAGGTCGGGCACTGATGTTGG